CTCCAATAAATATAATAGATTTTGGACTTATTTTACCATTTCTCATAAAATGTAAAATCTTTAATGGGTTTTTGCTTATAAATTTATAACAAGCTTTTAAGAGGATTATCGGTACATCTTCACATCTCCATCAATTAATTTATTTAAAATTTTAAAATATAGAGAAATAATTTTTTGAAAAAAAATTTAACATAAACTTGTTAGGTTTCAATTAAAAAATATAATTAATTATCTAAAATTAAATTAATTCTCAAATTAATTCATATGAATTAATAATAATAATATAAAATTAAATTAATACATAATTAAATAAAATAATAAATAAATAATGACTATAAAATAAAATAAACAATTAATTTTATATAAAAAATCTTTCGATATAAAACAAAAAAATCACGAATCAAACTTTTTTTAAAAAAAATCTACTAAAATAAGTACAGAATAATCCAATAAAAATTAAATCCATAATAAAAAAGACCATACTATTTTCTTTTATTTCAGTGGGAAGAACTTGAGAAGAGAGTTAACCAAACAAAAATAAAATAATTTTTGCTTTCATTAGAAAAAGACAAAATAGATAATGTCATTGATGATGTCATTGATGAGAAAGATAAAACTCTTTTTTTTTTTTTTCTCTTGGTTATGACTCAACCTATACACTCGCACATAAAAAGCTCTTCCTCCTTTCTTTTTTTTTTTTTTAATTTCTTATTCTTTTCCTCTTTTTTTTTTTTTTTAATACAATTACTATGTTCTCACTTATTATTATTTGTCAAACTAAATATCATAGTTGCTGTTGATAAAAAATAGGCAAGTGGTTCAACCACAACTTGTTCTGTAGCTCTAGGTGCCAATATATCTTCTTCCTCATTGACAATATTTTGTATAATGATCGAAAAATCCTATAATTTCGAGACCCAAAGAAAGAATGGTACGAAGGATTTAGAAAATGTATGACTTGAAGAGGAAAAACAACATATGTATGTAAGCTATCTATTGATTTAAGTATAATGATCATGCTTGATATTTTTTTTAAGTAAGGATATAAAAAGAAAAAAACATATAAGAAACCTGGGCAAAAATACAAATTTGAAAACTATTTACAGATAAGCAAAAAGGGAGTAGCAATGACCAATCTCTGATAGACACCTATATCAACTATGTCAGAGGTTGTTGTTTAGGTGGAACGACTCATATTTTTGCCACATAGACCGATATAGCAGCTAAGACGACA